GCAGCGGCTGGTGCCGGTCGGCGTTCGATTCCGTCCGCACTCCCTTATTGATTAACTCGCGCTCGCTCATTGTTCTTGCCCCAGCGCACTCTCTCCTATGGACGCCAAACTCCGTCGACAGAAAGGAGCAACGTTGAAGCAACGACGGACGTAACCGCCCGCACCCCGCACTCGAGCCGAGAGAAGCCCTGCGGGTGGGCTCCTTGCTTCTAGTATTGTACGACGTGCTAGTTGCGGAGGGTGCGACGTCTCGAGCGCAAGTTTTGCGCGCTGCCCCACAGTGCGTGCACTTATCGGCTAGCCGGAACCACGAGGTCACTCCTTCTTCCCTTGTGCCTCGGCCACTCAAGCCACAGCCATCGCTTTCCTTACTAGTTTCTTTTTCTTTTTTTTTTGTCACGGTGCGTGTCGATTCGGCTCCAAGGCTTCCTGCACCGCCTTTCCCAGTGGGGCGACGAGAGAGAATAAAGAACGCTTGAAGTGAGAAGGGAGACAACGGTGTCTACGCATCGCTTATCAAGTGAAGACTCCGGAGGCAGTGAATAAGGGAGAGGGGCTGGAATCCCTGCGTGATTGTGTATATATGACGAGATTCCGTGCTACGTTTTGTCTCTACCAGATATGACATCTAAGTTTTAACTAATATTTGGTGACGGATGGTCTTCATGCAAAACAAATGTATCTGTTTATTCAAGGCGAAGAGCTCTTATACCTTCGTTAAACGGCTGTCAATCATAGAACAAAGTCACGTCAGCTGATACACGTGTGGAGGCAGCTGGGAATTTCGGTTAGCGCGTTTGTCTAGGCTATATGGTAACGTGTCGACTGGATGTTTTCACTATGCACTGATGCAGCTGGAGAGTCATGGGAAATATTTACGTAGATGTAATAAACTGCTCTGTTTCGCGTATTCATGCAAAATGGCCTAGCCCCTTATCAGCTGCAAGGCACGCCGACGGTTTCCACATTGATCATTCCAATGATACTGAGAGGACTGGCAGACCGCTTGTGCAAGTTCTCGTATGTGTACACGAGGGTGGCTTGTTCAGTGCCGAGCTGTAAAAGACACACCTTGTTGACTTTGCGGCGTCCGTCTGCGAACTGAGAAAAGTCACGTGACAGAAAAAGCGATGACATCACTTGATGACGTCACCAGGTTGGCTGGTGTTGGTTACAGTGCCTCACAAGTGAGGTACGGGAAGCTATAATTGAGCGGTACGTCTTTCACGCGTCTTTCGTCGTGTCAGTTGAAATTTGAAAACACGCTGTGCACCGTAAAATCAGAAAACGGCAATGCTATCTGACGATACATTGAGAAAAGTCACAACCACAACGGGAGTTAATAAATTGTCAGTATTTTTTGTTTAAAATGAAAATATAAATATGAAATAAGAAATTTCACAGAGAGGGGTTTGTGATAAGCCAGAATTGTTTTCAAAAGAACGCAGGCTGTATCTATTACACTTTGAAAACTGCAGCTACTATGTAGATCAGACGCGTATAAATGTTTATAAATGTTTGTATCACCGTTTAGGGTTGTAGATAATGTTGGCCTGGAGGTGAGCGACTTTAAACGAGAATGCCGTGTTTGATCTGTAATTTGTACAGCTGTAAAAGGCGATCAATTTGCATGCTCAATAAGCGCATAATATGATGAGCTGTAAACAGTTGTTCAGAGTGCATTTGGTGATGCCTGTCACCAACCGTTCCCAGCAAGCCCTTTTGCGTTATTAACGGCCTACTGATACGTCTTTGTATAGTGTACTGCCACGCGCCAAAATGAAGCATTTTAGTGCAATTTAACTAGCTTGCTACAACGTAAGCTTTGCGTTTTGGCAACGAATGCTGAAGGTTTCCAAAAAATGCCTGGTATGCGTACAAGTTTAGTTTTGAGATAGTTTGTGTGAGCATCTCAAAATTAATTGAAGTAAATGATGCCCGATGATATTTGCAACATTTTATGGAATATCTACATAATGTTATGTATTGCGCAGACAAAAATAGCTTAAGTTTTCGCTCAGAGGCATGTTGCTTTAAGCTCACTCGAGTGGGAAAATCCCCGTCCTCGTTGGGCAGATTAAAAAAGACGCCATAAAAACACGTGCCAGTACTTTAAGTCAGCACGGTCTTCCAGTCTCGGCGTGGACGCGGCCAGCAACTGCGGCGGACCCCCTTTTAGGGGGTGTCTGACTAGTTCTCCAGGACCAAATAAAGTTTATTTCACTTCGCTTCGCGCACCCCCTCGTACTGTTGTGAATTCATATATATTTGTGTCATTGTGCAGAATGAAAAAAAAAAATTATGCGCTTTCTAAACCGCGAGCACAACCATCCTAGTGTTTCCGACGTTACGTGCCGCTTTCGACTGCGTCTTGTGAATAGGACGACACGTCAGTTCATAACCCTCTTTATCAGCCTGTGTACGTGAACGCAATACACGGTTTGTCTTCCTGCTGCTGCCTGCGCCGTCCCCACGCCTCGACGTTATTTGCTGACAAAGCAAGGGCGCTGTGCTCCCAGCGCAGAAATGGAGCCGCGAACAAGAATCGGCCCTCCTTTCACTCTTCCCAAACCGGGAACAAAGGGCGTTTTGCGGCCCGGAAAACCCGAGCGTGGCTTCGCGATTGCTTGCACGATGTGTTCGTCCCTCGCGATTCATCGTTAGTTGCCCGACCAGTGCCTGTTTTTTTTTTGTCATTATATTTCCGCCTCCCTCTATAAACGCCATTCAGCGTGCTTTATCGTGTCAGTTCCTTTCTTCTTTTCTTTCATTTCATTCGGATTGTGGCTGGCCAGCTTCATCGTTAGCGAAGGCTGGCAACCTCTGTTCTGGCTTTAACGTGACACTAATGCTTAGCTATGAGCAAAGACGACTAAACATGACCCTGACTCGAGACTACACTCACTCTATACATGGCCCGTCTGCTAAACACCATAGCTTTGACTTCTGAAGGTCTTATTTAGTGAATTTCTGTACATACGTATGCATGCGTAAACGAACAAATGCCCAGGTTGGCGGAGAGATGTCTGTGTTACAGGACGTGTCAACTACTAATTCGATGGTTGTGTTCAAGTAACAGCGCGACAATTGCAGTAAGAGACAAGAAAGGTAGGAAAGGGCGCTGTTCCTATCCTAATGGTTTCGGACAGAACGTCATGGCAGAAACATGTAGAAAGATTCCCTCATGACACTTTATAAAAAATTGACTTTTCAAGATCCCTTTCTTGTAAGAAGCTCTTCTGATTGGGTCCAGGAACTATAGGAAGGATTTCGCTGCACTGCGGCGGGATTTTCTATAGACGTTGTGAATCTTCATTTGTCTGTTCCTTGGGATGGTCTTATTTTGGCTGTGAGGAAATGTTTTGAAGAACGGAAGGTGCACTTTCAGAATACTATATATACATTAACTCTGACAATTTTATTATGCTTTTAAAACTTTATCTCAATTCGGCTACCATGAAATACGATGGGGAATTCTTAATCCAACGCACCGACGTATGTATAGGTTCATCATTGGCCACACTTCTTTGTGACATCTTTTTATCAGTTATTGACAAACGCATTTCTGCTATGTGTTCTTGTACGCCATGGGTATCATTACGTTGATGATTACCTTCTTCGTGTTGAAAAAAACTGGACAAATGTGTTTTAAAGGCAACGTTGAAGCTGTACTCAACGTCTTCAAAGAGTACTCCTTGGGACTCAAATTTACGTTCTAATTGCCTAAAGACAACGGCATTAATTTCTTAGACGTTCACCTTTCTTTTTCTGATGATGCTGATATTTGCTGGTGCTATCAGCCCAGGAGTGCAAAGAATGTCCTTCCTTTTGATAGGCATTCAAAATTAGCAAAAAGAAAAGGAATATCCACCACGTGTATTCGTACCACCCTTCGGAAGTCATGTGAGCACGAGGGTGAAGTCAGCCTTGAAAACCAGTATAAAAGACTAAAAGATGCTGGATATCCCAAGAACATCAACCCACCTGTTTGCGAATTCCTCCTGCAAAAAGTAAAGTTATCAAAACAGGACCAAAAGAAAAACAGAATGACCAAAAACCTTTGTATGTTATACTGTACGTAAATAGAGTATCCCAGAAATAAAGAACATAGCGAACAGATATAATATTAACTTGTTGTTTTCAGCTCCTTGCAAGCTTTCAAAAGTGTATGTACAAAACAGCAACAGGAGGAGTCAATCTTGCACCATTCGTCACGAGAATCGGTTTACTGAATGCCAATATAATGTTGTGTATGATATATCGTTGACATGTGGAAAAGTAAACATAGGACAAACTGGGCAATACTTCAATGACCAAGCAAGACGGCATGCTCTAAATTTTAAGAATGGCTATGGTAGTCTCATGGCCGTACACTGCAAAGAATGTAAGTGCAGTCCTGTGTTCCATAAAACGCGGTTTTTGAAAAAAAAAGCAAAAACGAAGAACGAAAGAGAGATAATAGAAGCATTTTTTGTCAAAAAGGCCAAGGATCAATGCATCAGTACACCATCACTTCTCCTCCTTTCCGAGAGAGAGAGAGAATATTCTTTTCTCAGTTAAGATTATTTTGTCATGGACACACATGAGTCGTCGCGCGTGAGCACTGTTCTTTCACTCTGTATAAAAGCGGTCTTGGCACCTTCAATGAAATTCAATAAGAAACAGCCCTCTTTTCTATCCTTTTTATGTATTCCTGCAATTGTCTCGCTGTTACTAGAACACAACTACATAAACCAACTGGCCCAAATTAAACTCTTGTTGCAACAAATTCAATATTTTCTGAGGAATACAGAGCGCCCTCCTAATATCCGTCTCATTTCTGCGTCGTCAAGTGTACATGTACTCGTCCTGTTGCCGAAAATGACAGCGTGGTTGGCCTCTAGGACGACATGACTGCCTGCCTGCTCAACTGTCGCAAAATTTTCGCTCATGACTGTGTACGAAACCGCAATTTTAGCCGAAGATGCATCAATTTCTTCATTCATGCCATCTCTATGCAGTACTAGTCACAGCCGAAATATTTCTGGTGGCCCACAAGATCAACCACATGTGATGCACTTCATTCCGGGATAGCATTACTTCCCCCCCCCCCTTTTTTTTTCGTTGCACTGGTAGGTTCGAAACCATTACAGGGAGAAAACCGTCGCTTGTTGAAAGGGTCCCTTTTGTTTCTATTTTAATGTGGCGTTCACGTTGGTACGAGTGGTGTTTTTCTCGAAATCAGTCTGGGAATGACCGTTGGCATGGAATAATTGATCCGTAACGCGACGTGTGGCCAATTTCGACGGTGACCGTTCAAGGTATTGCGTTAGAGGCTGGTATAAAGCCTACTAAGCTGGGGAGGGGGAGAGACAGAAAGATTAAGTGAAAGGCACAGGGGTTAACCAGAAAAAAAATTCTGGTTCGCTGTCCTGCACTGGGGAAGAGGGATAGAAAAATAATGACGAACGAAAAAGAATGAATAAAAAAAACAAAAAAAAAACGCGTACACACTGAAGCGCGGGAGTTTCATAGCATTTTTGCGAGTCTGGTTGACTGCAGAAACTTCAGCAGGGCCTTCGTCGCTCTTTGGTTGGAGGTATGAACGTTCCTGATTGATATGTGGGGTTTAACGTTCCAAAACTACCATATGATTATGAGAGACGCCGTAGTAGAGGGCTCCGGAAATTTCGACCACCTGGGGTTCTTTAACGTGCACCGAAATCTGAGCACACGGGCCTACAACATTTTCGCCTCCATCGAAAATGCAGCCGCCGCAGCCGGGATTCGAACCCGCGACCTGCGGGTCAGCAGCCAAGTACCTTAGCCACTAGACCACTGTGGCGGGGCAGGTATGAACGTTCCAGCACTCCGAAATTGACTGCTCGGAAAGTGGCTGGTCATTGAGCCGTGCTAACGTTGCCGAAAGCGGTTGTCTTTGGGAGCTGTATTGTGCACGATCAGAAAGGCCGTGTGCCATGGTTTCCTCGCTGACACAGTTATCACGCGCTGCAGTGTCTGCCATTCCGATTCGGTAAGCAAGACTGTTCATGAATGGCACTCCAAGCCACAAGTGGTGCAAGACTGTTGGTTCGGGTCGGGATAGTCCAGATGGAATACGAAGTTGAGGGGACGGCACCAGAGGGTGAAAGTGAATATGCAGAAAACCGGCCGTGTGCTTTGGGAGAAGCATTTGACGCACTTATTCATCTGAGTTATATGTAGGACGATGGACGAGGTATACGTTTGAAAAGGGTTTCAATATTACTGACTAATGCAAGGGGCGTGAAAATACTTTTCGTAATTCAGGAGTGATTCGCTCACCTTCTTGCAATATTTCAGTGCGCTCAATGCAACCAAGGATTCGTTACACTAACTTTTTTTCAGTTTTTGCGCTTGAAAGTCATCAACCGATTTTATGGTCGTATGTTTTCTGTATACGTTGAGTGTGTTCCATCCACGCGTCGTCGTTGGGGCGTCTCAATATCCGCTGCAGCAGCAGAGGAGCGTTGGTCCACGACGCCATAAAATCACAGCGATATACCGCCCCCAAAGAGACGAGGAGGAGGCGATCGAAGCGATGCTCCGCATGCAGAGGGGGGGGGGGGGGGTTGCACCAAGCAGAGATTGAGCCGCTCGGATCAACCCCACAGACCCATTATTTTCCGCTGGGCTGAAGGCGAAGGCCTGCCCCTCCGTTTCCTGCTTCACTTTCAGGCGTTCTTCCTTTTTTTCGTTTTATTTGTACGGCTCATACTGTACTGCTCACCGGAGCAATGTTTTAGAAGGATTGATTAATGGCTGCCCCGAAACCAAAGCGCAGGAAGCGTGCGAGTAGGTTTTTTTTTTTCTCTCCGGCACTTCATTTCCTTCTATTGACGCTTATCATTGTTTTCTATTTATTCTAACCTTCGGTTTTATGCCCTCTTACTTTCTCTATGTTCCACGTCCACTGCGTTACTGCGGGTTCCTATATAAGCTCAGCGCGCCAGCTCTGCTCCTTCAACGTACACCACTGAACCAGTGGTCTGGATAGCCAGTAGCTCACCAAAGGCATAAATTGCTAGGCTTTAAATATAAGTGCTTGCCCTCTAAACAGGTGTCCGCTCTGAGAAGTTCGTCGGTAAGGCAACAGCGTCCTGAAGGGTCTCGCTTTATGAAAAGCAATTCCATCGGCTTGGAAACCGTTAGAACGCAGAACTGCAATGTACGCGGCTTTGCACGCGCCGATATGGTCTGTTGTGCCTGTAGACGAACTGGAGGAGTTCCTCAACGCGTCCGCTGGGCCTGATGTTGTGTTGAAGCTTGGTTTATTATTGGGGCACTCTGAAGAACACCTTTTCATTTCCAGTTGTTAAGGCTACGTTTTACATATTAAAACGGACGAGTATAAAACAAACCAGGAGCTTCTGGATCGTTCCCTCATTTCTCTCTTTTGATATAATAGGTCCCCTTTCTTTACGTTATAAGCACTGTACAACAGCTGTACTTCCTTGCTCTGTAACAAAGCATTTCGATCGCAGGTACTGCGTAGTTGTACACAACTATGCCACGCAAAGTTTCCACGTAAAAACATCTGGAAAAACATTTGAAACGTACGCAACACCGCATCTATACAGGCCAAGCAACACCAATACGCCAGAAGCCCTATCGCGTATCGCCTTCCGAAAGGAAAGTCATCGCTGAGCAAGTTGAAGACATGCTAAAGAAGGGCGTCATACAAGAATCGTGTATAGTCCGTGGACAGCTCCTGTCATTCTAGTCAGGAAGAAGGATAACTCATGGATATTCCGCGTACATTATCGTCGCCTAAACGCCATCACAGAAAAAAAGACGTCTACCCTTTGCCACGTATAGATGACGCCGTGGACTGCCTGCATTCTGCCTCGTATTTTTCTTCTGTTGACTTGCGTTCTGGGTATTGGCAAATTCCTAAGCACCCCTCAGATAAAGAGAAGACGGCCTTCGTAACACCAGACGGTTTTATGAGTTTAACGTTACGCCCTTTGGTTTGTGCAATGCTCCAGCGACATTCGAGAGATTTATGGATACAGTACTCCGTGGACTAAAATGGGAAATTTGCATGTGCTATTTAGATGATGTGATTATCTACGGAAAGACTTTTCAAGAGCATAACCACCGCTTTTGTGTTTGAATGCTTACGCGAAGCTGGCTTTGTTCTAAATTCAAAGAAGTGCCATTTTGGAGAACGTAAAGCCCTCGTATCAGGCTTTCTCGTGGACAAAGAAGGCGTACGACCAGACCCACAGAAGGCCGCAGTGGTTCGCAACTTTGAACAACCATGAACATTGAAGGACCTGTGAAGTTTTCTGGGTCTACTTGCGCCGATTTATTAAGAACTTTGTACAACTTGCCTCCACACTGACTTCCCTTCTTCATAAAGACACACCGTACTTGTGGGATGATAAATGTGACGCTGGATTTCAACAGCTGAAGTTTTTATTGACTTCAGGGCCCATCCTGAATCATTTTGATCCTGACGCTTTGACTGAACTTCATACTGATGCTAGTGGGCTAGGTGTTGGTGCTGTGCTGGTCCAACTCTGCAACAGCCGTCAGCACGTCGTAGCATATGCCAGTCGCACACTGACCAGAGCAGAGAACAACTACACCGTCACCGAGCTCGAGTGCTTAGAAGTCGTCTTCGCCATTCATAAGTTCCGACCGTATTTACATGGCCGCGAGTTCACCATAGTGACCGATCATCACTCACTATGCTGGCTTGTGGGACTCCGCGACCCGTCTGGCCGGCTTGCTCGTTGGTCGTTGCGCCTTCAAGAGTACAGCTTTCCTGTGACGTATAAGAGCTGACGATGTCACACGGATGCCGACTGCTTATCCCGCCTTCCTTCAGTACGCACCAATGCTGATGACGACGACATTGATGACTATTTAGTTTCTGTATCGTCCGGCTTCCCAGATACCAGCAGCTTCAAACGTGAGCAACAGCGCGACCCTACCCTGAAACCCTTGCTCGAAGCTGTACATAACTCCGCCGACAAGCACTTTACAATTTCAAATGTCTTGCTGTATAAAATAAACTACTCAGCCGGCGGCCTCCCGTTGTTGGTGCCGGAAAGCCTGCGCCAGGTCGTCCTTCGTTCTATGCACGATGACATAACATCCGGTCATCTTGGTTTCACACGTACGCTACATCGACTACGTGAGAGGTTCTACTGGCCGAAAATGCGGAAGACCACAAAACAGTACGTCGCCAGCTGCGCTATATGTCATCGCCACAAGCGATCCACCACTGCCCCGGTAGGTTATTTGCAGCCCCTCCCTCCACCAACATCCCCTTTTGAAAAATTCTTACTCGAACCCCTTCTTACTCTTACGAACTTCTTACGAACTTACTCGAACCCCCTCCTAAGGCTCCATCCGGCCACCGATATGTTATAGTGTGCGTGGATTATTTAACTCGTTATACGGAAACGGACGCACTGACATCGGCCACAGCAGCTGCTGTTTCTTCTTTTCTGTTACAATGGGTCATACTGCGTTACGGTGCTACACGGGTTGTCATCAGTGACCATGGACGACAATTCATCGCCGATGTGGTTGAAGAAATTTTGCGCCACTGTGGCTCCTCTTATCGCCACTCCACCCCTTGCTATCCGCAAACTAACGGTCTCACTGAGAGAACGAATCGAACTCTTACGAATATGCTATTGATGTACGTTGATGCCGACCGCCGAAACTGGGACGCCGTCTTACCGTTTGTTACTTACGCATATAACACCGCCAAGTACAAAGTTACTGGAAATTAGCCCTTCTTTCTGCTTTACGCACGAAGCCCACGGTGTTTTCTAGACACTCTATTACCTTTCTCGTATCAGAAAGATCTGTCCGTCGCTCAGACGTTGTGTCGTGCTGAAGAAGCATGTAAACTAGCGTGCCTTCGAACATTGTCTTTTCAAGAACACAGCAAGAGTCGCTACGATGCCAGGCATATCCCCGTAGAGTTTTCTCCTGGCGACTACGTTTGGCTGTGGACTCCTGTTCGCAGAAAATTATTGTACCGGAAGTTTTTAGCAAACTATTCCCGCCCAT